CCCTCTTCATTTCCACTAGGACACTAGCCATGTGCAGCTCCTGTCCATTCACCTCTTTCAAGTGCTAATGGAGTTGGTAGAGGAAGATGGAAAAAAGCTCCTGGAGAAGAATGTGCGCCAGAGCCTGTTCCTACTGTTCCGCCACTTGCATGATGAGAACCAGTGTGTGGCACAGGTGAGGACTTCTGAAATGTTGGTGTCCATGTTGGAGGTGACTCAACTGTCTCCTGCGCTCCCGTCTCTTCCTGCTCTTAGCTACAAAGCAGCAGTTCTGGGAACCTCTGTTCTCCTGTCCTGGCAGCACCAGATGCCTGAGATGGGGGTTGACCCATCACTTTACCCAGGCACCAAACCCACTGATGGACAAGTTTCCCAGATGCTGCATATTCCCACTAAGGGCCAGGAAAGGCCAGGAGCCTTGTCAAGGTATAAGGGATGCAGGTCCTGTGCCCTCATCAGTGGTTCCATCTCCCAGTATCTTCTGCTCTGTAGGCTTTTTGGGAAACTCTGCTTCAAGCTAACACGTTCCTGCAGGAGAGGAAGCTCGAGCAACTGTTGGAAAAGACATGGAGTGTTGACAAGTGCCTGGTGAGGATAGATTCAAAGCCCCAGACTCATCCTGGGGACTCAGAATCCCTTTTAAGGCCAGCACAGTGTTGTAGAAAAGGAAACATTTCTCGTGGGAAGCTGGGGAAATGCCATGCTCTATCAGCAATCCAGTTCCCTGCTGTGTCTCCTCCAGGTGCCAACCATTGTGAGGGACATTCACCAATGGCTCACATTCATAATGGATGTGTCTGCTGAGCACAGACTGGACAAGAGCCTTCAGGAGATGAGCCTTGCACAGTCTCATGATGTGGTGGTGACCCTTCTGCGCTGCGCCCCATCATGTGACAGGTATGAGTGCTGAGGACTGCTTTGAGTGCTGAGGACTCACAAGTGATTAGAGCTCATCGGACCCATGACCCCTCTGTTTCCCTGTTGTGCCATGTCAATTGTGCCCTCCAGGGCACCATTACTTGTCTGCCTGCTACCTGCAGAGGCAGGCTCACTGAGTGCTGCTCAGTGGACAGAGGCAGGGCTGGTGGCCAGCCAGGGCCTCTATGGCTGCCCAGGCCATGGTGTTGTGGCCAA